TGTTGATGGAAAAAAAGCTACCAGAAAACAAGACATGGAGAAGGAGAGTATGCGCTGAGAGGTACTATCTGAAAACCTCCCAAGGTCAGATAAACTCTGGAGCGCAGGAGTTCTTCTGGAACTGCAAGACCTGGTCAACCCAGAATGCCAACAGCCTGCAAAGTCTCTACTGACAGCACACGCCAGCACCTACAACAACACGCACAGTAACCCAGACTGTTGCTGGGCAGTGGCTGCTGTCTCCAACAGAGGCTACAGGGTTGTGCACACAGCTGGTGAAACTCGGGGCCCCCTGAGGGACTTTCTGAACACCTGCTTGGAAGCCACCAGTGTGTCAAGATCCCCTGCTGAGTGTCATGCTGCACTTGGCCTCACTGCTGCTGCTCCAACCAGGGAGCTATGAATGCGTGAGTGAGCTGCACAAGGGGAGCAAGAACGTGTGTTTTGTGAATAGCCATCTGCTTCTAGTAATAACTGCTTGGCTCTACCAATAATTAACTATTAATTAAAAAAAGGTGTTATAAAAATTGGCTTTGGCCTTTGGCTCCCCTGAAGCTTTTTTTTTTAATGAGGGAAAGGGAATTTACAACAGAAAAACTAATTTCCCAAAGAAGAGTTGTTAGGGGCTGCAGAAGCTCATTGTTCTTCTGTAAAGTATAACATCCTGATCCAATTTCTTGACTTAAATGACTCAATACTCAGACAACCAGAAATTTGTCCTGTCCTGTTGCTCTGAAACTTGTGTCAAATATCACTTCTGTAGTTATTTTATTCTTTGAACTGAATAACATAGAAGAGGTTTCTAACAAAATATGACACATTCTAAATACTTGCATGCTAGGAGAAGTGGTAACTTGTTTGGCGAAACAAGAAGTCTTGGGAGGTCAAAGGGAAGCAGAATTCCAGACTAAGAAGAAGCAAAAGAAGAAAAAAAAGGGGGGGCAAAGAGAAAAAAAAAAGGAAAGAAAAGAAAAAGACCAGCATTATCTAAGATGGAAGAGGAGATGTACAAGGAGAAATATCAACTGAACTACTTAATCAACGCATTGATCATCAGAGCTGGAAGCCCTCAAACTTTCCAACCATTAAGATCCAGCTTTGATCATTAGCATTGATTTCTCAGTCTCACGCCTCATTAGAGCTGTAGCTTCAAGCTTTTAGAATCTTGAAAAGTCATAATGTTATCTGATAACTTGCAACAGGGTTACTTTAAACCGCACCAGGGTCTGACGCTGGGTGAGTTGTCCACTTGAACTGAGGAGCAGCCAGAAGCATTTCTTGCTATTCAGCAGTGTTCAGAAATACAGGGCCAGCCTTAGCAGAAAGCACTGAAACTCTCTTTCTACCACTGGTTCTTTTCCAAGCGATAGAATAAACCAAAAATAACAGTGGCTCTATTTACTCTAATAAACTGTCACATTGTGATGCCGTTATGGGGAGTGGGAAGCAGAAGAGCTGGGACCGTCCTCTCCTGCTCCTCCAGCTGTGGTCACTGCCTTTGTAGAAGATGTCAGACCACCTAGATCTAAACAACTCATTCCTCACTTATGTTTATCCCCTCTTTATCTATAAGAGACCAACCATTTCCCTTTCCAGATGGCATTCTGCCAAACTAAATGAGACAAGGTTTTCAGTCTTTCTCCTGCAAGAGAGGCCTCACATTCCTGTCATCAGCGCAGACTTTTTCTGCACTCGAAGAAGTGACGAAGCAGAGCCTGAGCACCAGCTTGTCTCTGTTTCTGTTAGGAACACATTTCCCAAAGTTTATCGTGTTCACAGGATGCAAACAGTCCATATACATCCTGTGACCAGCTTTCACAGTCATTTCCAGCAGATGAACTTATTGTTCCAAGCAGTCCTTTTATTTATTAGTCTTCCAAGCTCATGTCCTTCTATTTTATGCTATTGAATTTTTCTGGTTTGTTGAGTTTTAGGAGAACTGCTTATGCACTGTCACCTAGTTGATCTTATTCACTCTAGCTTGCTGGCCTGAGTATATTCCAGCAGGTTTGATGCATTTATTTCACTTCCCTAGCTCTTCTGAAGGCTTGTGTTGCCTCAGTTGTGATACATTACATGCCTAGATGAGCAGCTGTGACATTTAGGGATGTAGCTAATTCTGCTATAAGTTTTTCAGGTTTGAGGGTTCTTTTGATTCCCTTGTTTGCCTGTTTTTACTTTTGTAATAGTGGGTTTGTGGTTTAGTTTTAAAAAAGCACCTTATAATTGCATGGATCCTTCCCATGATATCTGAATTCACATGGGGTTTTATGAACCATATGTATGATTATCAACCTGTATTTTGGGAAAGGCTTATTTTTCCAAAAGGGAAGATGAAAGTGCAAGATCAGCTTACATGCACAGTTGAATTGTAATGGATACTCCCATCTGAAAGAATTTCCCTTAACCTGTGCAAGAAATTTTTGTTCTAACTTACATCTTTAAAATATTCATAAACTAGGTTATAATCCTTTACTCCTGGGCAGACATTTTTCAGCACTACCCAATAGTCTTACTTGTCTTTAACTAGCAAGGTTAAACTATATCCAACTGTTTGTACAGATAGCCCTTCTCTTCGCCTATTCCAAACATATCATATACTTCTTAAAGTTTGGTGATCAGAACAATGGAGGAGAGTATTCTGGATGTGGTGTCACTACTGTTTTGTGTAGCAGCAATTAAATTTCACTACCACTGCTCTAGACACTACTTCTGATGTAACTGGTATGAGAGCTTAACAGGCACAGTATATTCCTAGTTCTTACTCAAACTCACAGCAAATGTTACTATACTCAGGACCTTCTCTTTTTGAGCCCTTTCTGATTCAGAAAGTTCTGGCTACTAATTCCCATATACCTGGCCTTGCCATTTGCATTATTGAATTTCAACCCATTTTGATTTTTCAGTTCCTTAAGACTTTCAGGAAAATGAACTGTAGCTGTATTTGCTTACAACAAATTAGAAACACTCATTCTCCGATTTACCTTCAGTACTGCCAACTGACAAACGATCTTCACAACACATTTTGAGATGCAGCACAACAAATTATGTATCAACTAAGTAAACAGCAAAGGCTTCTTCCTGTAAGTCCAGAAGTTTTTGGAGTCAGCTGCCTAGATCAAACAAGTGTTGAAATTCTCACATTTATGCCATTTTTTAATACTTCAAACAGCCAGAAGTTTTCTCACTCTGTATAAGGGTCAGTTAGGAAATGGAGAAGAGACAGCAGTAGTCTACTACAACAGGGTGATTATATATGTTTTCTGTTAGAAACTTATCCTACTTTCTTTATTTTAGACCTTACATATGGTTTCTCTGAAATTATTATAATTTTTTATTTTCTGGAGCAGTAGTCAAATATTCAATTATAATAGGTAATAAATAAACAAAAATTATATTATACAGATGTTTATTTTTCCTAATGCCTACATGAGAATGTTACAGCTTTCAGAGTTGCTGGGTGCTAGCTTTCCTCCTTTAAGTCAATGAAGAGCCTCTGAAAGTTGAAATCCTTCAACTTGGTGCCTAAGAGTGGATATAGAGTGGAACTTTCGAAAGCTCCAGAATTATTTTTGTGCACAAAGCTGATGGATCATTTTAGGTATTTACAAATAAACATGCTTTACTAATGACACTTTCCTAAACAAGCACACCTGTGGGGAAAAAAAAACAAACCAAAACCCAACCCAAAACCAAGGGGGAAAAAAAAAACAACAACAAAAAAAAGAGGTCAGGCTGATTTTTAGAAGGATTTGGTTTCTGGAAACCTTGGATAGTTTTTTGATATTTTGTATTAAATATACTTTTTTTTGTTCCATCTACATAGCTGATCCAGAATTTTAATGATCTAAATTTCTTTTGTTAATTTAGATTAGTCATTTTTTTAGCATTGATATAAAGAACATTGTTTGGTTAATTTTCTCAGTAAAGCAGAAAATGAAAGCCTAAGTCTTAGTTTTGCAGGTCCAGAAGTACAAAGGAGGATTAGTTAGTGGATTTTTAGAATGCTTTACACTCCTAAGACAGGGTAGAATAGTAAGCCTCATGCTAATCACTCAGGCAGTAATGTGCATGCGTAATCTACTTCTGCTCCATTCATCATTTTTGCTAAGTTGCAAAATTTTTACTGGAAACTCCAGACATCCTGTTTTTGTCATGAACAAATAAGGTTTCACAACTGTGAAAGTGTTAAAAAACTTCATAAAGAGGGGCTTCAAACTTCTTGGGTAATCCACTCTCTTGCTTCTTTTTTCATTAAGGAGTGTGTCTGTCTGCCTTTCTACTCCATGTAGAATCACTAACATTTCAGCATCGCCTGAACATTTTCCTTTTGCCCTAGAACAACCTGTCTCATGGACTCAGTTATGCCAGCTGTTACACAATTTGCCCTAGACAATTCTTTGGATAATAGCGATAGTCCAGCAAAGCACTGCCCTACCAGGATAACAAAGAATTGCTGTTCTCCAGAGACATGCAGCAACCGACAGGCTCATGGGAGGCGCACTGCAGTAGGGCAGGGGGCCCATTTCTCATGCAGCGAAACATGTGCTCACTCCTTGGCTAACAAAGATGATGAGGGGACTGGAGCATCTCCCCTATGAGCAAAGGCTGAGAGAGCTGGGCTTATTTAGCCTGAAGAAGAGAAGACTGAGAGGGGAACTCATCAACACATACAAATATCTTAAGGGTGGAAGTCACAAGGATGGAGACTCTTCTCAGTGGTGCCCAGAAACAGGACAATGGCACAAACAGGCAATGGGCACAAACTGAAACATAAGAGGTTTCAGTTGAATATGAGGAAGAACTACTTTACTTTGAGTGTGGCAGAGCACTGGAACAGGCTGCCCAGGGGGATTGTGGAGTCTCCTTCTCTGGAGATATTCAAAGCCTGCCTGGATTATGTCCTGTGCAACCTGCTCTAGATGAACCTGCTTTAGCAGGGGGGGGTGGGCTAGATGATTTCCTGAGGTCCCTTCCAACCCTTGCCATTCTGTGATTCTGTGATTCTGTGAACCAGGTCCCCCTGTCATTTCTTTTCCTTTCTAGGATTGTCTGTCCACCTCAGAGAAAGGTAGTTTCTACAGCTGTGTCCATCTCTGCAAGGGAAATAAATTAAATGTATTTTCCTGAAGGCTCACTTTACTGTGCAGTCTCAAATCTGTTAGCTTATGCTTTTCCTCATGCCATAGACGGGGAGAAGAAACAAAGAATAAAGAAAATTATTCCAGAAATAGAAATAAAACATTAATTCTAGAAAACTGAGTGGAAGAAAATATCATCTGAGATGTAGCCTTTGTCAAAAGGTCCTTCTAGTTTGGTGGCTTTGAGCTCTCAGACCAAACAATCTCTTTGGGAAGTTGTCATGGAAGGTAAGAGCCAACACCCTGACATATCCTAGCTGAGGTGCCAACTTCGAGCAGAAGCGCTTGCTTCTTTTGGATGAGCGAGCAATTTGCCAGCTCTAAGATGCAAGTCCACCTTCTGGTTTGCTTTCAGCACTTTGCTTTTTGTTTGGTTTGCTTTTTGCTTTCTGTTCCCAGTAGGAAAACTAAAGTGTGATCACAAATCTGCTGCTGAAAACAGCTGCTTAAACTAAAGGACAGCCTCAAAGCTGTAAAACTTTTTAATCAGTTCTATGTTTCAAGCCAGAACCTAGTGTAATCAGGAATTAAATATTGTCTTTCCAAAAGAAGAAGAGTTCTAACAGAGTTCTATAAAAGTGTCTGCATTTTCTTCAGTAATGGCGAAAACAAATATATGCCAGTCAGGGAGGGTAGAAGTGAGGTAAGGAGGAAGGAAGCGAATACAGCAGTGAGTGAGAGAGGAACATTTTCTGGGCAGTACTGTGATTGAGGAAGCTCAGATGTATCTGGATGTCTTTACTGCTTCATTTGTGCCTGCCAGTATAGGGAAACCCCACAAAGGGGTAGATTTTCTTCCTAGCTTACTAGCTGCAAATGCTAGATCCTTTTCTACCTATTTTTTCTGACGCTTTTCTTTTTACCAGCTATGACAGAAGAAGTAACATATGCCAATCTGAAATTTGAAAACATCTATGACCTGGATAATATCAGAAAGCCTGAAGATACTAAGGGAAAAGGTGTAGTATCTATGAAGCTTTTGTGATTTATTCTTGCTAATGTTGGTGGGATGGGAAATACTTTTAATTATATGCCCAACGGGCCTTTGTTAGCTTTGTTACTATCAGAAAAGTTATACTAGTTGCAAATGTGTTCTGGGTTTTTTTTGCTGTAATTTCTGCCTTTTTAGAGTTTGGTAGGTATGCCGGAAGTAGTGATCTTATTATTTCATGGAAAAGTATATCACTGAGAGTTACACTAAGCTTCACAAATAGTCCTAATTGTCTAAACCTCAAAAGAGTTAATTTGAACTAATTTTTAAAGTGGATCTGTTCCATTTAATTTCTCCATGCATTTGCAGTCAAGCTTAGAATTGAATTAGCTTTAACTGACACACCCTATTTCACTTCTGAAGTTCTAGCCTGAATTAAGGCACCAGCCTTTGAAACTGTTCAGGCTATATCTGTTAAAGAGCTGAATGCATTTTAAATACTGTATTTTAAATAGTAATTCTAAATTGATTTTGCTTAATTTGTGTTAAATTGCTTAAGAGCACCTGTGAAGATGAGCTCTAGATTTGAGTGCTGCAACTCATGGGAACAAAGAACACAGAAAGTGCTGGCTGTTCATGTGGAGTCAGGCTCTAGAGCAGAGGTTTACAAACAAGAGGACAACTTACTTGTGATTCAGAATGAATTCTCTGGGGAATTCTGTATCAAGGAGCAGTGGTTTTGAATGCTTTTATGTTTTTGAACATTGTTATATTAATTATTGTCTTAAGCATTGCCAAAGTATGATTTGGGGCTAAAAAAAAAAAAAAAAAAAAAAAGCAAAAATCTGAACTGTCTTTGTGTTAAGCTCTGGTCTTGTTTTCCTTTAACATCCAGTGACACCAGTGTAAGACCCCAGATGTCCTGCTTCTATGTCCCAGGGTAGACAACACATATCTCATGATGAGAAAGCACCATTTTGAGAGGGCACAGCAGAGTCTGTGCATTATTTCACAAACAACAAATTTAAACAACCACAATGAACAAATATATCCATTCTAGGACCATGGGAGTACTGTACATGAAGGAGGATCCAGCCCAAGGCCCCTTCAGCAGTGCTAGATGTAGCAGAAGCCGTGTGAGGTTACAAAGTACAGTACAGGGAACCATTACCTAAAGAAATTCTTGAGGCAATACTTTAATTAAAGCCAAAGCTAAAACTACTGCTTGGCCTTGATTCATATTGCTGCCCAGAAAATACTTTGTGTTTGTTTGTGAAATCTCACTTTCAAACTACGAAATCTTTGTCTCTTCTCATCTAAAAGCTCCAGGAAGCGTGGACAGTCTTCAGCTTTCCATCTTCAGCTTGGGGCTGTGACTTTGTAGGGGTAGGAACAAACTATTTTTTTCCCTTTAGCTCCAATTTATGTGAGTTTATTTAGCAGCCTGCCTTAGGGGAGTCAAATTTCTGTTAGTGAAGTTCTCCAGACATCTAATATTCAGCTTCAGAGCATGGACAGAAGCACTTTGGCCTTAAAAATAGCTGTATGTCCTAGCAGTCAATGTATCCTTAAGTCTTGTTAGAATCTATCAGGTATGCGATCCTCCTGTGCGGGCTTTGTCTCTGAGTGTATCTGTTGTATGCCTGTGAGATCAGACTTTGGAAAATAATGCAGAAGGGAGATGTTCTTTCTCGTCATGAAGGGCCTGGGTATTTCTCTTTTATGCAATACCGAGAAGTTAGAGCACTTCCTTATGCTGAGATTGCACTCCATGATGAAATGCAGGTGCAAGGAGCGTGGGAGATGTAATATATATTTAGCAAGGCTTTTGTCAGTATCTCTTACAGTATTGTCATTTTAAAGCTGAGGAAGTATAGACTGGATGGTGGACTGTTAGGTGGGTTGAAAACTGGCTGGACGACTAGGCTCAAAGGGCAGTAACTAATGGCTCAACATCTGCTTGTTGGAAGAGTCCTGCAGAGGTCCCTCAGGGGTTAATACTGAGCCTATATTGTTTGATATCCTCATCAATGACCTGAACAATGACACAGAGTGTGTCTTCAGCAAATTTATGATGATACTTAAATTAGGGATGGTGGCTGATGCTACCAAGTGGTAGATCTTCAGTACAGAGGGACCTTGAGAAACTTGAGGACCGTGTGAGCAGAAACCCCATGAAGCTCCACAAGTTGTTGTGAACTGAGGCTGGACTAATCCCAGGCAGTAATACAGACCAGGAGCAGGCTGGCTGTGGAGGCCTTTGCTGAAAAGGACCTGGGGTTTATGGTGAATGGGAGGTTGAATATAAGCCAGCAGTGATCTGTGCCCCAGTTCAAGACAACATCCATTGCTTGATGCTCTTTCACCTGTTATAATTCATCAACTTGAGTTTCTATAGAGTGTGGTCTTGTACAACATTTTGCCCGGGGTTGCTTCACCACAGAAGCTGACCGCAGCTTATTTGCAGGAGGGGCACACTGCATGGTTTCTATTCCTATTCCTTCAACTTGACACACTAAATTTCAGTTCCTGCTCCTTCAGCAACTCAGTCCCCAATTTTAAATACCCCTTTCCCTTTTCTAGGCTAGTAGTTTCCTCTCCACATTCCCTTTCTACTGCCTAAAGGATTAAGTCAAGCTGGTTGCAGCTGTCCACAAAGTCCATATAGTGGCAACTTTAATATCTGCCTTAGATTTAACGCTTCCTTGACAAACTGAATGCTTTTTCTCCCTCATTCAGTGCATCTTAACCCATGAAATCTTCCAGCTCCTATAAACAAGGCCTCTTTTGGATGATCCACATGCTTAAAATTTCTTTTGCTCAGGAAAAGATTGTTCCTTTTTCTCCTCATTGACTGCTTATTTCTGTATCTAGGCTGTAACCCTTATTACAGAAAAATTCTCTGTGAATTCCTAGCTACAAATCTCAAAATACCATAAAGTACCAGAGGATTTTACTGAAGCACTCAAATTAAGCAGATTACCACAGATATATGCTGCACACCACAAATTACCATAAGCATACAGTACAAATTTGTTTTCAGCTTTCATCAATCAACTTTCTAGATTTTGCAATACCTAGTTTTCTCAGTATCTTTCTTGCCACAGTCCATGGCCTTCGAAAGGACCAAGGCTGTCCACATTCTCCACTGAGCTGTTGTGATCTCTCACTCTCTTACTTTGTTTAGGCATCTTTTGCTGTGTGTGGAGACTCTGCAGCAAGGATACAAAACCGTAAAGTAAAAGCAATTATTTATTGACCAATGCACCACAAAGATGTCTGTGATTTAATGAGGCTAATGTGTACACCATTCTCTTAGTATCACACCTCCATTTCATGACTGAATTCCTCCCAGGGCTTCCCACCTCGTCACGCTCTTTCTCGCCAGTAGTCCTGATTTTGTTCACGCTGTGCCTGGCTTTGCTGATGGCGTTGGTGACCCTGGCAGTTTTACGTAAGTACTAATGCATTTCTGTTTGCTAGGGGGCTCAAGCTACTAAATGACATCAGACTGACATCTCCTTCAGGTGCAATTTCTGGTTCAGCTGAGAAGAGTCAACCAGGCAAACCAAATATTTTCCCTTGCTGCAGCATCTTTTTCCTCTTCTCGATGTGATGAGGCTAGAAATAAGCAACATGGAGGGCAGCTGGAAAGGGGTGGAGTAGGAGATTCACTGCTTGCTCTGGCTGCCGTTGTCTGGTCTCCTAAAAACTGTATCTACAGTCCTGCTGTACTGACAAGGGATGGAATGAATTCCCCTTTGATAATGCTAGATCTGAAGGGAAGGGAAAAGCCCTGTGTCACAATAAACAGGTTGTGCCATCAGGTACCTCCCATCTGCAACAACTCCACTGTGATCCAGAGCTGAAGTTCACATTTTTAGGAAAAAATCACAGCCTACAAACCAACGAAGAGAAAGATGCACAATGGAAATATGTGATAAAAAGTGACACTTTAATTTTGTTGTTCACTCACAGCCAAATAATAAGAAATCCACTGTGCAAATGTTCTCCATCTTGGCAGCCCTTACATGCAAGTAACCTTTATCCCCAATGGTTTATTGATTTGCTAAGACATTCCCTACCTGTGGGAATGGACAGCACTGGAGAATGTCTTATTGTGAATTTCAGTTTTCCAGATTCCCAAGGACTACAGGACACAACTTAGAGACCTCAACATGACAAAGAATGAACTCCATGCAAATTTCTCAAATATGTTGCAAGCAATAGGAAATCAGCTGTGCTTGGAAGGGGGAAAAAACCTGAAAAATAACGGTAAATCAACAGGTTTTGATGAGGGCTTATCTTTCAACACGGCAGGGAAGGAAATGAGGTGTGTATTCTGTGTCTACTCAGGTCTATCTCCTCAGGTGAGCCATATGTGCACTGGTGTGGGGCCTGGCAGTGGTACCAGGGCTTCAGGATTTAGTTTCCACAAGTAAAGGGTTCTGAGGGATGCCTTCTGAACATGCCTGTTCCCATCAGCCCTAGTTCAGGGATCTCTACAGCATGCTCATTGGCACCTGGTAAGACAGTTTTACAGTGGTGCCTGAGGATTAAACAACTTACTGTGCTTTACGTGAACAGCATTCCCCATACAGGACAGTGTGCTAGTACCAACCCCAGGTAAGACAGGAATCTCCTGAAGTCAGAAGCAATGTGCGGTGAAGCAAAGCTAAACCAACCGGGGAGTTCACTCCCTGTCCCTTGACTGTGCCCAGTGCAGGGCTGTTTCTGAAATCAGTTTGCCACAGCTTGGTTATTTAACTGGCATCTGACAACGAGCCAGCCAGAGGATTAGTTCTCTTCAGAAATAATACACCGAAGAGTAGGGGCATGGGTCAAAGGGATCCTGTTGTGACTGTTGGGAAAGGGGATTTCATTTGTCCGGATATTGTTCCACAGACAAGCTGACTGTCTAGGTCTCCCTTTTATTTAATTAAGAGAAATGGGTAGTGCAAGGATACAGTCTGTTTCCTCCCAAGAAAGACACCTGAAATGACAGAAAAAGCACGCGTGAGACACACCTACTTCTGTCCATTGGCTAACATGGGAATCCAGATGGGTTGATTCATGTCACCTTTGTAGAAACCTAAAAGTAGGCAAAATAAATCCCATTTGCAACACCTGAACCTCCTCCCAGTGCTAAAGGAATGGGAGAAACAGGGAGATGACTCAGTTTTCATCTCTTTTGTTACCTGAACCTTCTGGGACCACAGTGGGATTTTGACTAAATGAGGACCATCTCAAACATCCTCAGTCCCTATGGCTCATGTTGTCACAGGCCAACAGCAATGTTCTGTGAGGGACAGCCTGGGAACAGAAATGGAGTGATGGTTTTCCTTTTCCAGGCCAGAATTGTGTACTCTGCCCTGCAAACTGGAAGTGGGAAGGTGGCGATACGTGTTACTACCACTCCGAGGACCAGAAGTCGTGGGAACAGAGTCACTTGTTTTGTTCCTCACAAAACTCTACTATTCTTCTGGTAAAAGATGCAGCAAAGCTGGTATGGACTGGTTTCTCACTCTTGTTCAGCATGGGGGAAGTTCATACACCCTATCAGCTACTCAATTCACACACAATTTTCTTAAATGGTACTGTGAGCAGGAGTTTTTCTACAGTGATCAGGTTGTCCTGGGCAGTGCTGAGGTGTAGTAGGACTGGTCATCGCCACACAAGGCGCTGCCCTTTGAGGGGATGGCGGTTGGAGACAGCCCATCTTGCCACGGCTTGCCATGGCTGGCTATTTACTGGGATGACCAGTGAAAGCAGGTTCATGGCTGTTTTGTCATGGGCAGTGACTTCACTAATTTAACAAGTATTACAGATCCATACAAGGATTTGGTAAGACATTAGTTTGAAAACCTGGTCTCCCCATAAGCAAACCATAGTCCTCCCCATTTTGATGAGTTGATCTCATCTTTTAAACCAAAATTAAAAGACTTGGCAGCGAGTTGCTGAAATCTGTTCTAATCTTCTGGTAAGTTAAAATCAACTGAGGTGGGAAGAGAAAATGCCAGGTGTAGAGTGAAATAATGCTTTTGACTCTGGATGCCAACAGACGTATTGGAAGACTGAAGGCAGAAAAGATGTCCCAAGAGCTAGCAGTCAGGGGCTGGATCTGTCTGCTCTCCAGCATTTGACAGATGCCAATTCACCTCTTACTAAGTGGCAGGCCATAAGGTTTCTCCCAGAAGAAAAGGGGAGTAGCTTTATTCTCACCCTCCCAAACTGGTAACAGCAAAGATTGTGAGGTACAGTCTGTACTAGCTGTCATGGCATTAAGAAGTATGAGGAAAAAGAGAAAATGGAGAAGTGCACTGGGAGTGACAATGATAAGTGAAGGAAGGAGGAGAACAACAGAAAAAAATTAATTCAAATCTTCAGAGAATTCCCTCAAGCAGCAGTGAGAAAGGCAGCTTATTTAAGTTTACATTCTTACCTGTTCTGCTCAGAGCATTTTTTAAGAACAGAATATCACTAAATGCTTAACTTTAAGACCTCCTCTACTTGTCATGGTCCAGCTTTTGGGAATAAGTTAATGATGCTAGAGTCAAGTGTGAAGGTTCAACAAATCAAACCCAGCAGCTCCTTGCAGACGCTTCCTTTTCACTGTTGACAAATGCTAAGGACAGAGTAAAAGAGGAGGAATGATTCATGACTAAAGGGAGGAGAACAATCCAGTGTTTCACCCAGAGGGTTTAAAACAGGTTCATGAGCTCTTCAGAGCTATAAATGTATCTTCTCTTTGATTAAAGGTAGCTCTACTATCACTTCTCCTTAGAGGCTTTCCCTCTAAGAGCAGAACTTGTCCTGACAGGTTAAGAGTTTGTGGTATTTATACTCTTTAAAGCAATTTTCATCAATGTTTTAAACTTCTGAGGCTAAATATTTATTTTTAATATTTTCTTGAATATCTGCTTTGAATTCTGCTTGCTCTGCATAGGAACTGTTAAAAAAATTTCCAGGAAAACAATACTGGATTGGATTAACATTTAGAGAGGAACATAGACACTGGTATTGGGCAGACAACACAGCTATTACAGAAGAACAAAAGTCTTGGTAAGTGGGCAGCTTACCCGCAGTTCATAAAGTCAGTCCTCATCTGTATGCAACTCCCAGTTTCTCTGACACGAAGGGAACATTGAACAGCCAACTTTCGAGCAGCTTTCTCTGTATTCTGGGTCTCACTTCTCCATTCCAGATTTTTCTTGGCCTCACATAGGATTGCTTGGATGATGGTCTAGGCACTATTACTGGGCAAAAAAAAAAAAGTACCCTGAAGGTTTATTTCAACAATTTAGTTTTCGATTGACCATAAATGCCATATATTTCTCTTATGTTTGACATCTTGTTTCATTGAGGACACATGGAAAAAACTCCAGTGGAAACATGTTTCATTTCATGCTTTTGATTTGATACTGTTTAATTTTTATATGACACTATTTACTCTCTAGAATCATTTCACTTCGGTTTAACATGTTATTTCAGAAATACAATATATTCTTGTTCTTGCTTTCAAACCTGCTTTGCCAATTTTCCTTTTCATTATTGAGCAGTCTTCTTCCAACATTTCTGTTGAAATAGCCACTGACACTCTCCAGTCAGTACCCAGAAGTTATTGTTTCTTACTGTCAGGTACAAGAAATGGTTTAAGATCTACCTTTAGAGTCTGCTGGGGGTGCTTGTTGACATGTTCAGGACAGGGTCAGTCTCCCAGGAGTTAGCTCATGATGTCACTAAACTGTTTGTTGGGGGTATATATTCTTTGTGAAAGCCACATAAGTAATTCTTGCAAAGACAGTTCTTTTTGGAAGGGGCAAGGATGCACCATTTGAATGAGATGAGATGTAACAATAAAGATACTTCTTTCCTAGGATGAGATATTTATACAGCTACAGATCCTGTGGATATTTTGATAGTACTGCCATATACACAGCAGCATGTGATGAACAGCTTCGCTATATCTGTGAAAAACCCGCCATCCAATTACAGAGAGGTAACAACCATCGGCAGGAGGACTGGTTTGTCAGACCAAAATGATTATGAGAACCTAGAAGACATTCCGCAAGGTTGGAATTCATTATTTTGTTTTTCAGAACTATCACGTGAGGATTTACATATGTTGGATTGGACCTATTACATTTCCCCGTTTTCATTCTCTTTTAGACATATGTAAAAATAGCGTCATACGAAGGGAACTGGCATGGTGATGGGCTCCAGGAGCAACTCAAGCCTGTTGGTCCACATCCAAAACTGCCAAATGATTCCTCAGTTCTAACCAACACAAGTGATGGACAAAATGGCCAAAAGTGAGGGCCAGGAAAAAACCCACAGTGACAAGGCAAGCACGTAAAGATACCGCTACTCTCCCAGAATCCGCTGATCCGGTCCTAATACCACTTGTCAGTTCGCAACTGTACAGCTGTAACATAACACAAGTGATGAGGATTAAACACTTCCATTCAGGAGACGCTTCTGATGTCTTGTTGATCTGACTGCTTTAATACACTAGTAGGCTGGAGTACACAACACACACACACAGTTATCCTCAGAAAGTGGACCAAGGTGTTCCCGAATTGTATTAATAATCATATTTGCTCTGGAGCACAAGGATTCATAGTCCTCATAAAGTCTTGTGCACGTGTCACAGACTAAGATAACCTTAGCTATGAATGTCTAGCTCTCTTCCATGCTTTATAATTCTTCCTGTCACTGTTAGTTCTTTTTTTATTTCTTTCTTTTATTTCCTTTTTTTCCCCCCTCTTTTTCCCCCTAGTAATAGTTCTGCCTTTCTTTTCTCCTTTTCTAATTTTCTACTTTTTTTATCTATTGCAAGAATTATGCTAGGGTTCAGTCAGAGGCATGAACAGAACCTCCTTTTATGTACTTTCAGGTTATTTCCTGGAATGCCATACTACTAACTTAATATGTTGAGCAAGGGTCTACAGACCCAACCATAGTGAAAGTACACCAAGTGGTGTAAATGAACAAAATGTCTCCCTCCACATCTCCACAGAACAATGACAGTCGGGTTGAAACACAAAATCTCAGTCCCATAACAGTGTTTTGATTTGAGCAAGAAGTCCACAAATTCCTAGCGTGGTCTCCTCTATAGACTTGTGTATTCCTTGTGGATTGCATGCCAGATTATTTATTGTGGATCATTTATCACTGGTGTAGCAGCTGGGCTGCTAAAGCTTTAGTCACTCCCTTCAAACGGCTGTTCTAGTGGTTTACCGATCTCAGCACTACACAGCAGTTGTGATCACCAACATGAACATTTTGGGTGTTATTTTCAATTACCAATTTCACACTCCAGAAACCTTAGTGTATTTTTCTTCCTCACTGCTGTTTACATTCATCACTCACATCTCTCACATAACCGCTCCTAGCTGCTCCTCTCAGTTCCTCTCCTAGCTGTTCCTGCCTTTGGGGGCGAAAAATGTGGAGTGCTTCTGTCCTGCAATGCAGACACAGCCCTTGTTCATACCAGCTACACTGAAATAAGAAATCTCATGTGGAAGGTATCCCAAACTGTATTCATGGTGCGTCCTTTCTTGATAATGAAGGGCTTTGCTGTAATTTGCCAGAAAAATTTAAAAAGAAAAAAAAACCAACTCTGATCTTGTTTTCTCTTACATTAGAGTGACTGTGAAGAAACAGGAAAGATATTTCCAGGACGTTTTTTCATTCATGAGGCTTACCTATGAGCAGAGGGCAAATCCTCGGTGTTCCTGCAGTTTGTTGAAGACAAGCATGAGCTGGGATTGACAGCTCCCCACGCTACAGGCAGCCACAAGGCTACACCATATCTTGCTGTGGTCTTGATCTTTTGGGTCGATTTATTGTCAGCCCCAAAGCAGTCTCTGGTGCAGCAGCTGTATTTGTAACTCTAAAGGCAGGTGGGGTTGGGGTATGGTTTCACAGTGCGCCATGCTACTGAAACAGAAGGAGCTAGCTGCTTCTCCTCAAAAAACAATGACCGAAACATCAAAACCAAAATCACCCCAGAGAAGAAAGAGAGGAGGCAGGCAGTGTCCTACCATTCACCAGAGGCATTTGAAGTGCTGCAGCAAACAATATCTTCCAGCAAGTTTGAAACTGGAAAAGGATAAGCCCTGGTGGTGGTGTAACTGTCTGACTGTATCCCCTTTCCTATTGAAAGGAGCTTTTCCTTATAAGGGAAGAGACATAGAAATGTACTGTTTGTGTATTTGCTGAGATGGCATTTTTTAATCACAGTTACACACTACAGGGTGTTTCCCACCCCAGTCATAAACTCTACCTAATGCTATTTGCAAGGTCACATTCTGGTTAATAAACACAGCTGTTATGTCCAGCCTGCTGACAAAATTATATATGGGGTGGTGGTGCATCCCCCACCCTGCTATTTTCTGCTGAACTGCTTTATGATCTCAGAAACTCCCGTCAGACCTTGGCCTTGGTGTAAGGAGTCGGACGATTAGGTGGCACTGTCCGTACCAGAAACATCTACATGGCTGAGGCCGGGAGCAAGAACAGGAACAATCAGTTATCCCCTGATAGCCTCTGAACATACCTTATCTGAATCGTAGCCCGAGTGGCACAGTACCATCGTTACTGGAATGCCAGTGGTTTCCAACCTGATTGTGGCCAGGACTGGAAATTTGCTGATGACTAAAGCCAATCATCTCACAACCCTATGAACAGCACAGTCTTAAGTGAGGCCCTTTGAGCTCTCCTGGACTACAGTGGGCTGCAGCCAGCATCTCCCTCTGAGTGGAATGCCTCTCAGAGCTAAGCAAACTCTTGAGTTTGCTAGGATTGAAGGTCCATCATCAAAGACCGACTGGAGCTGAAACCTGGAGCCTGGGCTGAAACCCTTCACTCCTTGAGGCTCAACCCTCGCCTGTTGAGAAATGCCAAGACATTTGATGTGAGTATTTCACTGAATTTGAGGGGAATTTTTAACCAGTATACTTTTACATATATCTGTCTCTCAAATCATGTCTGTGTGTAAGCATGCATGAATTGATTTAAGTAGTCTGTAGATGTATGATTTAATTACAAAGTTATTGGTACGTGAGGAGGTTTAGCTGCCGCCAGTCCTGCCCCCACCCACACGGAGCCAGAGCTGCTGCTCCTCTGGAGCCCGCTCTTTCCCACCCAGGGCAGGGGAAATTATGTCTGTGTGTATGCGTGTGTGAACCCATTTAAGTAGTTTATAGGTGTATGACTCAGTTATAAAGCTAATCCTATACTGCTACTAGATATATAGATATATATATTACCCTTAGATATAAACCATTGACCAAGTCTGAGACTAAGACTGGACCTAGCCGCACCCAGACTCCTCTCTGAGAAGGAGTTTAGAAAGCAAGGGGGTCTATTCTGAACCTCGTGACTCAACAGGAGGGTCCTCCTTATCCCCTGCACCCACGATCTCTCTGTGAATCTCACTCCAGTGTAACTTACTTTTCCTTTGTGTACTTCTTCCATGCAGTAATAAAGTGAACCTTGCCATCTTTGAATTTTTAAATAAGTTGCTGTTTTGATTAATTTTGTCTAATCACTTTGTAAATCGTCTGATGATTGAGTGCTATTAAAATGTCACAATCAAATCCCATGATTGCCACAAGTAAATTCTAAACTGTTACTAAATCAAATTGTGTAAAGTCACTCGTTCATGACAAATTAACATAGTCAATGGGATTCTAAATCAGCATTCGTGGCAACGGGCTGCATTCAAATGCAGACCCAAACTTCCTGCCTTTGTTTACCTTTCTTTTCATTTCAGTCTGAAAAAACAAGGCATTTTGCCTGCCCTGGATCCTTACAAGAACAGAGAGCATCATGCTGAAGCTCCATCTTAATGCTTTTGTTAATTATGTTCTTGGAGCAGGTTCTGGTTTAAAAGGTGACTCAAAAAGAAGTGATATAATTAAGACTGCTTATTGAATTCAGAGCTATAAAAATAATATAAGAAAATTATTTTGCCTCCTGTTTTCTCTCCAGAAGTAAAATCAGCTTAGAGAAAAATTTTCCCAAAGGAGATTCATTACATGCTTCAGAAGTTATTTGCTAAGACTGAAGAGGTTACTGTCATAAAATCCTGCAACCCAATTCATTAGCATAGACATACTTGACTCCCAGTTCTCTGCAGAAAAGCCCTTTTTACACTAAGATGCCAACATACAGTTTTCAGGCCTGATTGATAGACAAGGATTTTTACACCATATTTAGCATGAAGGTTTTATGAGGATATTATGGATACACCATGAATATGCAGTGAATGTTACTCCTCGTGCCCATCTGTGTAACAAAACTTTAAGCACCCTTTACTCCCAGCTTTTCCCTCACGCCTTCACTTTGCATACAGGTAAAATATAATGCAAGAAATAGATGCAGCTAGAGATATTTCTGCTCTGAAAAAAATCTATCACCTGCACAGCGAGGCAGGAAGGATAGCCCAGACATTACACTGTATTTCCAGTCTGTTGATATTATTTGGCAAATGGGAGACTCTGAACTTTACACACAAGAGCAAGAACAGCTACCACAGAAATTCCTCTCTTGCAATTCCCTTCTGACTCACCCTGTCACCACAGCGTGACTCATCATGTCTGGGCAAGTGCTCTGTTAAGGAGAATTACTCGTTGAAGATGTTTAAGAACTACAGCTCAGCACTGGAGCAAGGCACTGTGAAGAGCTTAGAGATGGAGAGTGAGGATGGGTAAGCCACTTCTGCAGAGTGACTTCTGTCTAAAGTTCAACAGCTCCTCAGTATAGTCTGGTCTTTCTCTGACACAGGCTGAGCAATCACGAAATGACTGCCAACCAAGCTCCTGGCGTCACCGTCCTTCCAGCTCAGCTTTCCCCCTCCTAGTATTTATTTCAGTGAATTTTTGTAAAATTATTTCATTTTTCATTTATTTCATAACAGCGTATGGATATTCAGCCTATTGCTTTCAGTGCAGCTGGTGTGTTGCATTTGTGCCCTGACACATGAACTTTTGGTAGTTCAAGGTATGATCTTTCACACCTTAACTCAAAATAGCAACTAATTCTGGAGTATCACATTTTAAGGTGGTAGAATATCCTGATGTTTGCTGTATTTACAGGATCAGATCAGGTGGATAGTTAAATGAAACAGTCTTAGGTTCCAGTCAGGAACCAAGACTCCTGATCTTCACATTCAGGAAGAAAACACCCATGCTTGACAGTGCCACTTTAATTCCTTAACATGCTTTCAATATTCTACACTTTTACAATGACAGAGTAATCAGAACAGAGCCAGCTTCCTCTGTGGTTTCACTGGAAATGCTGAAACACGAACCATTCCTGTCGCCTCAGCACTGGTCTCCCTGCAGTGTGCTCCTACTCCCAAAGTACTGCTATTGCAGGGAAGAAGTGTGATGAGCTGGAGATGGAGGATGAGGAAGGCTACACCGCTTTAAATTTACGACCCTCACCTTCAGTTATTACTCCTGGATATTCGAGCAGCAAAAAATCTTCTGCATTTAAGGCTCCAGCCAGTTGTGTTACAGTAGACAGTAAGTACAGATGGAAATTAGCTTTTCTGTCTAAATCAGGGCATAACTTAAATTCATTAAACACAACATGTTTGTGTTGATTGCTTTAGAATCTTTCTAACCTGTATAGTATATTTTTAGATAAATGTTCACAGAAAAAGCAGAAAGAATGACCACAATAGTCTTGTGTGCTATCGTTTATGATCACAGATAATATTTTTTTCTGAAGCCTATCTTTAGTCCAATTATTTTTTCCATTTACTTCAACACAGAAGACAAATTCCACCTTTCTATGGATTTTTTTCATTTTTGCAGGACTCATTTATTACAGCAAGGCACTACAAGAGAGGAAGACACTATAGTTTTATCAGATAATGCAGACGTTGGAAATGGGAGCAATTTCCTCAGCTACAGGGAGTAGAAAGGCACCCTATTTATCAGTAAATGTAAGCTCTGATAGGAGTATATTATTATTTGTTTATAATCAAAGTTGTTGTATAAATGAGCTGAGTGTTAACTAAGGGAGTAAATTGTGCCCGTGGAATGCCTGAGAGCATAAAATGATGACTTGAGTACTGTTGCTGCTGCTCATAAATTCACCACGTGGCTTATGTGTGAAATAAATATTGCTATTTGCAGGATGGGTAGAGAAGACAAAGACTAAATTAACATCACTCTGGTGCTGTCTGGAAAAGATCTAGGGCTATCCATTAAGAATGACTGCTTGACAAGGAGGATGGAGGACAAGCTGTTGACAAGCAGCAGCCAGAAAACCAAGGAAAAAGTATTAGGGAGTGTGATCTAGGGATGGAGTTTCCTGGAAAGAAACAGGTTGGCAAGCTCAGCAAATTCTTAAAATGGCCTTTGGATACGCACAGAGAACATGTAAAGTAGATAAACTTATGACCAAATTAGGTTGGGAGGGACCTCTATAGTTCATCTTTTCCAATCTTTTGCTCAAAAGGGTTAGCTCTAAAGTCTGATGAAGTTGTTCAGGACCTTGTTCACTTGAGTTTTAGAAACCTCCAGGATGCAGATCTCACAACATCTCTGGGCACTTGTTGCAGTGCTGAAGGGGAAGAATTCTTTTTCCTCACATCTGATCGGAAGTTTCCCTGATGCAACTTGAGACTGTTGTATTGGATCCTTTTGCTGTGCCTCTCTGAGAAGAGTCTGGCTCCATCTGTAAAGCCCTTTAAGTAGTGGAAGACTGAAATTAGGTCCTCCCTTAGCCTCCACTTCTCCAGGCTAAACAAGCCTAGGTCCTTCAGCCTCTCTATATAGGTCTCTGACCAACTCAGTATTCCTATCCTGGACTCCCTGATGACATCTCTCTTGAACGGTGAGGCTCAGCAATGGACACAGTACCCCAACGTGGCTTCATGACTGTCAGGTAGAGTGGAATAATCACTTCTCTCAACCTGCTGGCTGCAGTCTTGCCAATGCAGTCCAGTGCTGGTCAGCTTTCGCTGCCACAAGGGCACACTCGAGGACCCATGTTCAACTTGTCCACCAGAACCCTGAAGCATGGCTGCTTTCTAGCCAGTCAGTCCCCTACCTGTAGTGGCGCATGGAGCTGTGCTATTACAGATGCTGGACTTCACATTTGCCTTTGTTGAGCTGTTGTACTTACAAGCTGATTCCTAGCATTTTTAGGTCCCTTTAAAAGGAAGCCCTGCCCTCCAGCATATCAATCACCATGTCAATGTGGTGTCATCTACAATCTCTTCAAATGACCTTAACTGGTGAGGGTTAGGGTTGTCTCCCTTAACTTTGGGTATGTAAGTTTTAGTTGCCAAGTCTATATGAAGTTCTGGGCACCTCTGGAGAGTGATCATTCTCACCTAACAAAAGGTTAGTTCGATGGACGTGCTTGCTCTGATGCACTGGGCGCAAGTAAAATACTTGATGTGTATAATACTTCTCAATTAACCTGAAGACTCTAAATAGATATGAAAGAGTATTACAGAAAATTGCAGAGCACTGCTTCCCAAATGGGAAACTTGCATATATATAAAAGAAAATATTTTAATCAGAGGATAGTCAGCTATAAAATCCTGAAGAACTATATTCCTGATTAGACATTGAACCACAATAAAAATTTTGAAGAGAGAAGCACAGTTTAGTGTTCAAACATTGCAATCATTTAGAAACCACAGTCACAGGGATTATCCAAAACTAGATGGTATTTTTTCCCTTTCAAAGTGGAGAGGTTGTTTTATTATTTTCAGGACTGTGGGAACTGCAAGATCTAATCTGTTTACCTATTTCATGAGAATTTTTACACTAAAACACTAGACCCTCAATTAATTAACATTCTCAGTGGATAAACAAATGTTTCGCAAAATGACTGCAGGAAATTCAGGCAAGTGATAATAAAACTGCAGTAAAAAAAGAAGAGGCTCTGCAGACAGGATAAAGGTGAACTGGTGATGTCAGAGTGGAGGTAATACTACCGTGTGGTGAGGAGAGCTGCTATTTTTGTTGCTGAATGTTTGGTTTATTATTTTTTTTGTCCCAGGAGCCTCTGCCTCATCTTCCATATGGCAGCCAGTGGCATTTGCTTTCCTCACTTTGTGCCTGGTGTTGCTGACAGGGCTGGTAGCCCTGCTGGCCCTCTGTAAGTACTGTGGTGTCCCAAGCTGCTGTTGTGGGAGTGAATTCCAGCTGTATGACTGCTTCTTCTCCCCTTACAGACTGTCCATGTTGTCCCTGTTCCCCCAAATGGAAATAATATGGCAAAAAGGGCAACAGCACAGCTCTCCCACAGAAGTCCCCCTGCAACTGAGTGTCAGAACAGGTCACCAGGGATCACTAATATCTGCACGTATAGTTACCTTAACCCTAAGGTTTACATTAATCACAATGCAAGACCTAAACCTAACTAACCCTAACCCTAAACCCAACCCCTAACTTTAACCCTAACCTTAACCCTAACCCTAAACCCCTAACCTTAACTTTAAACTTAATGACCCTCATCCTAACACTAAAGTTAATATCTAACCCTACACCTGTCCCTAGGCATAAGCCTAAATCCTAAACCTAATGCCAACCCTAACACTAAACCATAACCTTAACCCTAACACCTAATGCCTAACCCTAACCTTAATAATAATGACCCTTACCCTAAAACCTAACCCTAACCCTAACTTCTGACTAAGTCTAATTCCAAACCCTAACCCTAACCCATTTCTGAAATGCTTAATTTTCACAGCTAGAAGTTCATCTCGTTAGCCACACTATCTGGATAATGGTGCCCCCCTGTGACTGTTAGAGGAATTTTTCACACTTAAGAGTGCCCTCTTTTTCTTGGATTGCAAGCTTTTTGCAGGGAGGGCAATCCTGGCGTCAAAGCATTGTGACTGGTGCATTTGCCCAACGGTTACAGCAGATTTTCCATATAAACATTTCAATTAACAATCAAAGATGATGCCCCATTACATTTGGAAGCAGAGACAGAGAGTGCCCAGCTTCTTTTGGGCATGAGGGAAGCAGTTGCAAGTGCCCAGGACAAATACTCAGTGTGGTCCATGGCATCACAGAAATGTTAGCAAAGGGGCAATTCTTCAGGTTTCTAGTCTGACACCCACCCTTTCCTCCCCACTGTTCAAAGCTGGACTATCACCAACCCCAGATAAACTCACCTGTAGCTTCCAAGTCAGCTTCCAAGTCCAGCTGACTTTGGAAAATTTTCAAGGGTGGAGATGCCCCCACCTTCCTAGGTGGCCTTTTCCAGTGCTGCACAACCCTCCTGGTGAAGAAAATGTGGATGTTGTACATACAATGGTGGACATACAAATGAAGTAGACAAAAAAATCAAAAAACGCCAAAAGCTATGAATTAAAGCTACAATTAAAGCTACAAACTTTGAAAACCAATCTTTGATAAACACTTTCATGCCCTTCAGTTTTTCAGGTTTCTAAGGATCCTGAGGAAGGAAAGAAGCTGCAGGAAATGAGGGAAGCATTGTGTTTTGAAGGGAAGGAGAAAAATGGTAAATGTGGTTGTTACGTAAACAAACACAAATCACCCCCTTTTCAGACTGAGAGACTATAAAATCACAGGGAAAAGATCTGATCAATTAGTGTCTGTTTTTTAATTGTGGCAGTATTTGAGACATTGATATGTGTACACTAACATGCAAAACAATTTGTGTCACACCCATCAAGAGCTCAGATGACTCATGGCTGCCCTTAATCTTTTCTCAGTCAAGCCCCTGTATTCCTCACAGGTCTGCATAATACTCTCTCTGATTTCTAGAAACAAATTGTGCTCTCTGTCCAGCAAGCTGGCAAAACAGTGGAGCTGACAACTGCTTCTACATTTCAAAGCAGAAGAAAACATGGAAGCAAAGCCAGAAGTTCTGCTCCTCAAGAAACTCCACTCTTCTTGTGCTAAAAGACAGATCAAAGATGGTATGGCCTTAACCTTATGCATTCCTTTATGTCAGGTATTTTAACTTCCAGGAGTCTTGCACGCAGAAACTAGTTTGGTCATTTACAGTACATGTATTTAATTTTCTCTGGGTCAGGTAGCCTTCCTGCAAGTCGCAAGACTCTCAAAGGACTTGCAACACTTTCTAAATTGTGTGCTGAGAGAAATAGTGAAATTACATATTTTGAGAAATAGAATAAGCCATTGTATAAAATACCTTAATTAGCTAATACTTAGGTTTTCACAGAGAAAACAAATTGCATATTATCAGCATGGAGGAGAGACCCAGCACACAGAATGCATGTTTTTTCATTATCTCTTTCCACCAGTTTTGTTACTGAGGGCTTCCAGCATCAAACCCACATCTATGTGAAACAGAGAGGGGCCGATTCACCATGGTACTGTCAGTTGCATGCTGCAGTGCAAAGCGACTATACAAGGTTGTTTTCTGACCTTGTGTTATACCCCCAGAGAGTGGTGTTAATGATGGCACAAAGGCTAAACATCAGAAGATTATATTATGATGACTGGAAAAGGTTTAAGGAATTCATAATTTTAAGTAGTCTTACTCATTTGGGGGTGTTCTGCTGACTAATGAAAAACCTGTAATTTGCTCTCAAGGCCATATTTTCCCTTTTTGTATACACTTATCTGGGAACCTCTTTTTCAACAGCTCTTAAGCTTACACAAAGCCCAAATATCCTTATTTTCTGTTTGCTACCTACAACTTTTAAAAGGAAACAAGCTTTCCTGGAAATCTCTCTCCTTTTTCCAGATGGGGGTTCTCAAATCTTTTATTTTAAGGCATAAAGGCCGACCTTTGGGATTTTTTTCTTAAAGTGAAAATCAGATGGGTAGAGACAAAATAGAAAGAGGGGAAATGGTTTACTACTGAGTTTAGCAGCATCCTGGATCAAACTGTTGGGAGACACCTGAACACCACACCTTCAAGAGATGATTTTGGTATGCTATATAAATCCCTGGATAGTTTGATTCCAGATGTCCGGGTGCTTGCTTTTTCTTCCATGTTTGGTATATGCATCTGCAGCCAGACTGAGGTCAGACCAGTTTAAGCCAAATTTTAGATTTTGGATGAGTCCCTAAACATGCTACTAAGCAGCAGTAGAGTATCTGCAGGATCTGAACAGGCTAAGATGCTGAGGAACCTCTTCGGTAGCACTTGGACACCTAGGGAATAGTTCAGGTTCCTAAGCATAGGTTTCTAGGGGAATCTGAGGTGCCTGGGGGTATTCTCTTTGGCCTCCAGCAAGGTACAGTTCTCCCATAGGTTCTGGGTCTTGTCTGTCAGCCATATGTGGAGACCTCAGACAGGTTGGAGAAACTCAAAAGGTGCTGGAGGCCTGTATTTAGCCAACAGGCTCTGCCCTCTAGGCAGAGATTCATCTCACCTAACTTCGGGCATCTACAGTGTATGCAGCCTGCAACTTCAGAGCTTCTTCCTCAGGCTCCGTTACAGTCAGTGGGAGATCTGGCCAACACAGCCACTGTTCAGTAGCATTCCCACGGGGTGAGATGAATCACTTCTCAGGCTCCATTGGATCTGTTGGCCAGATATCTGCTGACTCTAACTGGGGCTTAGATGGTGGTCCCATATCTATAGCTAAACTGCAGATATCTAAAGGCAGACAAGATAAAGCTGCTTTTTTTGTTTGGTTGTTTTTTTCTTTAAAAAAGCAGTGTTGTTACAGATCCAGGGTACCTTTATCTAGTGGAAATGCAATAAACAACAGTATTTGAATGATCTCATAATCAGAATAGTCAGCACTACCTCATAGAAAACAACCATGGACAACAGATTACTCTCCTATTGAGTAAGAAAGAGTTATCTCTCTTGGTTGCAGAACCTTCACAGCTGGAAAATACAGGAACTTAGGTCTTATTTTTGAAACATTGTCATGATAATTTTCTCATACCTACAGGTTTTTCTGCCACAGGTTTCAGAGTTTTACTGGGTTGGATTATCATTTGTATCTCAAAGGAGCGCCTGGTACTGGGAGGATGGAACAGCTTTTTCAAAAGAAGCGACAAATTGGTAAGCCTTCATAGCTTAGGACCAGCATTATTGTATCTGATGGGCCACAGTAAATTATATGAGACTTGTGCTTCCTCTTACTTTCCCATGTTTGTCACATCTGCAGTGACGAAGGAACACGGGGACCATAGTATCTGCTATAGAGCTCTGAATTTGTGTCCTGTATAAGGAGCAATGGGTGGCAAAGTACAGCTCGATCACATGTGCCAGACCCAAAAGGGCCACCTAGTACAAATAAAATAGCTCCAAGGGGGAAATAACTCTACATTCCAGCGGTAAATCAGTGTGATTACAAATGGTCAAATATAGATCACATGATGTCACCGGGATATCATTAAGCTGTATCCTTTAATTTCCTAGGGTTATTCTATATGACAACAACTTCTGTGCTTCCTTATATGGACAGATTATTTATGCCAGACACTCCTGTTCAACAAAGCAGTTCTGGATCTGTGAGAAAGAGGCTGTTCATTTCACCTGAAGAAGCATTGCAAGAAGAGATGTGGGATCTGCCACTGTGAGATACCGACTTCAGGAACTGAAAGTTTTAAATACATTTTTGTTTGTTTATCATGCAGCTTCCTCAGAATGGCGATTCAAATGGACCTGTCATTACAGACTAAACCTCCTCTTAGTCTGCATTTTCCCCACCCCAGGCTCACAAATGAGAGAGAGAAAAAAAACCTACAAAGCTAAAAACTACAAGCCTAGGAAGCAACTTGAAAGAATAAACTACAGTCAAGCAATGATTCTTGCGTAACTCTCTAGATTGGCAACCACACATTCTCACAGATCTCTATATTCCTTGAGCTTCAGTCAGTACTTCACACTAACACATGCCAGTCATAAACCAGTCCAGCTACATCCTTGATGATTGTACTCACTGAATTACTTACTGTACGCACTAACTACTGTCCATCCATAATCCTCTTCCAGAGCAGTTTGCCTTCTTTCCTAAATCTGTTCTTCCAACTGTTCCCCTGTCTGAGGTACAGGGATATGGAAAGAACACAGGGCTCTATTTATCCATATAATTATTTTTATATATGCATTAATATTTATAGAAACAAAAGGACATTTGTGCGAAGACTATAGGGAACCCTTGGAAGCAATTTCTGTGAAAAGTAGAGCCAAACATCATGGTTGGATTAAATCATTACCTCAAAAACATCAGTGCTATCATAACATTAATTGCTATGCAAATAACAGTGAGGATAATAATTATGTGCTCCGTTCAGAGCTACACACAATCAGTACTCAAACTGATGCAGAATCCATTGCCACAGATCTTACTTGAGCTCTTGTATTATACCCACACTGCTTGGGATCTCTGGAGCCCAAGGTACACACATCACGTGTTATTAAAGCACTTGTCATACTTGAAGGAAAAAGATGCCTCCACTTTTCTGAGTAGAGTTTCATTGCATGAGTTCTTTGAAGTTTTGTGTGCCAGAATCTGTGTTGTATTATATATACATATACTCCTGGTATATATATGCACCTTGTACTTGTGTATAGTACTATGCCTTAGTATCTTGAAACTTTCCTTAAAATAAACAAAAAATAATAATATGTCTTTAATATGCAATATTTCCTTGGAAAATATTCTCAAAGACTGAAGCAGTTCCTTGGTAAAAAAATGAAACCCTGTTCCTAATATGCTGACAGATGTCTGTGAACTGACTAAATTCACTATACTCAGTACAGCAAAGTCATAATTCATGAGCACAACTAACAGTTGAACTATCTAAAATTCCTTACTACTGCAGTAGGAAGTGCAAGGTACAATGCAAGTAAGGTGCAATGTTTCATCTGTTTCAACACATTCAACTTGAAAAAAATATTTCACAGAAGGCATCTAAGCTGCCACATTTTACCATTTTTTCCTTCCATTAACACTTTTTTTTCCTAGCAATCTGCTATACGCCTTTGATGGCTGCATTGTGAAACCAAATGTTA